GGAGAGAGAGAGAGAGAGAAGAATGATGAAGTTACAGGGTGTTTATGGCAAGTGTAAAGAAATGGGTTGCCGCAAATCTGGTTTTTAATGAGAGAGAGAAATGGGGGGTGTTACTTCTTCTATTGCCGCCAAATTCGCCTTCTTCCCGCCAACTCCTGCAACTTACACCATACCCCAAGATGAAATCAGTGGTAAACTCCTCATTCCAGAGCTACCCAGATGGGACAATGTCGAAGTCATGAAGCTCCATACCAGAAGAGGCCAGGAATTGGTGGCTGTCTATATAAGGAACCCAATGGCCAAGCTCACTCTTCTCTACTCTCATGGAAATGCAGCCGACTTGGGGATGATGTTTGAGCTTTTTCTCGAACTGAGTCTTCGACTTGGAGTCAATTTAATGGGGTAATCCACCTATATTAGATTCCTTCTTTTAAAGTGATGGAATTTATGTAGGTTTTCGTAACTCTGTATTTTGTTGGGTGAATTTTGTTCTTGTTTTTTGGTTATTTAAACCGGTTTTTATGATGCATATTTATTGGGTTTCTAGTTTTTTGTTCCTAACTTAATTTTGGGCTAATGTGTATTTGAATTTTGGTTGTATAACCTGTTGTTGATTTTGCGACTGTGTAACTGAGTTTTTCTTGCGTTTTAATTTAGTTTATTTGATTTTATTTTTTTTATTCCACGATTTTGTACCGTATTGTTGGGTCCTCTGAATTTTCTCATTCTCCAATTATAAAATTGAGTTGTAGATTGATAAAGTTTTTAAACGTGGCCTCCGTATCGCAACGGTGAGTGAACTCCATTTCCGAGGCAGAGAATTTTGTCTGGTTCCAGCTTAAAGACCCCTATTGACTGGCCCTTGAATTCATCGTCTAATATTTTTATGATTTATTCTTGTTGTTTTGAAAGCTCTTTTGGTTCAAGTTTTGGAAAATTATATAATAAGACCATTTACCTTTGCTACAAGCAAGTTAGAATCACCTTTGGTCATTGGATGTGAATTGGGCTGCTGGTGTCGTGCCATTAACCGGGGTCAAAGTCTAGAAATTTTTTTTGAAAACTTAGTCACACACTCTAAGCCATGTAATATCTGACTGTTAGGGATAATTGTGACCTCTTTATACGAAACATCAACGGTCTTATAGCATACAACCCCTTAAGTTTTTATAATTTTAGCGGTGTCTATTGGATATTATTTCTGTGACTATCTATTTGAGAGACTGTAACTGAACTTAATGTTCTGTGAAGTAGTCCTGAACAAAAATTTGATATCTGTTTGTGGATTCATAGAATGAAGTTTGAGTTGGACAATGCATATACTGTACTTTCATTAGGAAAGTTAGTGTCACTGTTTGAGTTAATGTAATGTAAATTTCTTTATCTTTTATATTATAAGAAGAAAAATAATTGCTTACCATGAAAGCAGCCTGGATAGTTCACTTTATTTTCTTCACATATTGGGCTTTGTTGTGATGTGACAGTATGGTCATTGTTGAGGTTGTATTTACATGCTATCCCCAGGTGATGTTTTGCTATTGCATCAGTTTCAAAGGCTAACCATTCTTAGTTTTCTTAATGTTTTTTAATTTTGACAATTTGTGGAATGATGATAATTGATATTCTTGCCTTAAAGAATGAATGTTCTTATTTTTACTATTCTCCTTTTTACTCTCCTTTTCATTATATTTCTTTTATCTTTTATTTCACAAATGCATGCAGATAAATTTTCCTGCCGAGAATCTCCAAATTCTTGTACTCTTTTGTTATATGTTTTGCACCTCATATTAACTCTACCTCTGTTTGTTGCGGCATATCCTTGGACAAGTCTAGAAAATAGAGAAAAGGAGTTAAACATTTGTTTCTCTTTTTATTTCTTTTCTTTAAAGAAAATTCAGGTTGATTCACTAACGAATCTTACAAAGACCACTGACACTTTCTTCCTTTTTCTATACTGTGGATTCATGGTGATGGGAACACACTCATATTCATATACAACTATAGTTGGAACATGCTTGAGGTTGAATCTTTTCCTAAATCATGATCAAGGACGTCCTTCAGCTTCCCTTTCTATATCAAAGACAGAAGAGTAAGTGTGGCATGGAGTGATAAAAATGTGGGATCTGACATGCCCCAACATTTTTCAGAATAGTTACTTCCTACCCCCAAGACTTGAATAAAATAAAATTCCCACACTAAGATATGTTAGGACCTCGGATTCTGTGTTAGATATCTAAATTCATATTGATGGAATTTGCATTTGCCATTATTGGCCTCGTTAACATATTTGAAGTTTTGCGTCACACATTTATCCCAGGATCCTACTTCTCAGAATGTCATAATGTTAAGGTTGGCTCCCTTTATCAGTTCGAATGAGGATCTATATGTAGTGTTACTATTACCTGGGGATCCTTTGATCATTCATCAAGGAACCCAGTCTTTTTGTATAGAGGTAAACAGATGCTTAGTCTATTTAGCCTGATTTCACATGTATGCATGATCCTCTCTTAAATGAAGATACTTGATCCCTCCAATCCCATCCACCACCATGATATGCTAAAAATGGGGTTTCCATGTACGATCATCTCATTTGGGATTGGGAATGGAACCTCCTATATTTGGGGTGCATGACCTTTCCCGTTCGAATGCCTCTATTAGGTCACGAGGGAGTTGGAGTAGCCAAACCCGTAATTACTTCCTGAGAGAATGTAAGGAGATGGCAGTGCATGGGAACGTGGCCTTAGGCTAGAAGTTAGGGCACTCACACAGTTGTGAATGAGATGTATTTTTGGAAAATGTGCATGCTATAGTAGGCAGCAATAAAGTTAACATCTAAGGGTACTCCATTAGGATAGATATTCTGCTCCACAACTGATATATGAAGACAAATACCAGAGTTTAATCACTTGCAAAGCTACAATAGAATAACAATTAAGACCCATCTGGACGCACTTCATGAACAAAACGACATCTCAATTCTATGTTCTTCATGCACATGTGGAATGTTGTGTTATATGCTGATGTAATAGAGCTCATTTTGTGACTTGGAGGTCCCACACAGGAAACAATGGCTAGCCCTTATAAAATCTCCAGCTATAACAGTCTGTCCATGTTCTTTGACAAAAATTCTCATCTTTACTCTACGTAATTGTATCGATCTGTAAGTTCTTCTTTTAAGAATCATTAGATATAATCTCCAAAGATTCCATTCATTATGAACTGATTGTTTAGGGATCTCCAATGCTGCAGTATCTCTATATTATGTGGCAATGCTGCGCTATTTCTATCTATTTTATCTGGCAGAAACTGTTGGAGTAGGTCTCTCTAATGCTTATTTGATGCTCCATAGTTTTGCCCTCTAATAAATACTTCAGTCTTGACCTATAAGGTACATATCAATTTTGGTTAAATAACAAGAACTTGTGTTGCAGGTATGACTATTCGGGCTATGGGCAGTCTACTGGAAAGGTGTGACATTGATATCAACATGCTTATAAACATTATATGTGACATATGCAAATTTTTCTGTAGTAGTAACCTTTTTTGCTCTTTGGAATCTGACCCTGCTTCTGAATTTCATGTGACATAGCCCAGCGAGTGCAACACCTATGCAGATATCGAAGCAGCATATAACTGCCTCAAGGATCAGTATGGAATAAGAGATGAGGATTTAATCTTATATGGGCAGTCTGTTGGGAGTGGCCCAACTTTGGATCTGGCTTCACGCCTTCCTAATTTGCGAGCGGTGGTTTTACATAGCCCTATACTTTCTGGATTAAGAGTAATGTGCACAGTCAAGCGCAGTTACTGGTTTGATATATACAAGGTATGGTTGGACTGAAGTATTTCAGGCTTCTTTTTGCAAGTACTGCCCTTTCTGTGGGCAATGATTTAACCATTGGTCAGTTTCTCTATGTGCAGAACGTTGACAAAATTGGCTTAGTGAATTGTCCAGTTCTAGTTATACATGTAAGGATGACATACCTATTTCTCTATGACATTTGAAGTTTTGTTTTGTCTCACTAAATTGGTTTCTTCTTTTATGGGAATGCTACATTTCAGAACCAAATACTCTAGTGTAACAAATCATTGTTTTTCGTAAAATTAGAACTGCATTATTATTTCTCGTCACCTAAACTATGTAATTTCAAGCAAAATTTCCCAAGATAGTTCGACTTCAAGCCTTTTGTCAGGGCACTTTCCAAGATGTTGTAACTATTATTAGTATCCCTAGTCTGGAGACTCATAAAAATTGTGAACTTAACTGGCATCATATCTGCACGCCTCATAGTGGTCCTATCCTGATACTAATGTCAAAACCCTCAATTGGATTCTTATTGGAAAGAAAGACATATAACAGTAATCTGGATTCCTTAGGTATATAAAAAGAGATATTGTGTACATGAGCAGGTGGCATGTGAGATAAATTGCATTGCATGGATGATCTGCTCCTGATGTTCATGGACTGTGAAATCACAACTCGTTGATTTGGGTCTAGATGTTTTCAAATATCAAGAGCCAGTATATTTCACAATCATGAGTTTAAGGTTTCACATTTTGCACGAAAGTAATGATGCTGTTTGGTTCTTGATCTGAACAGTCTAATTTCAACTCTTTAACATTTTATATTCCCCAACTTGTCTTTATATGTTGTAGGATTGCGATCATCCTATGAATCTCATTCACAAGTCTTTTAGCTCATAAATCTCACTAGATCTCATAGTAGCAAATTTGCAAGTGCAATAGTGTGTAATAGCAATGCATCTACATAACAAACAAGCTAGAGCACGTCTCAAGTAGGCCTTAAGGAGACATCATCTTCGCTTCAAGCATGCATAGGTCCTCGTCTCGCGATTCATACTCTGACCACCTTCAAATTGAATGCTAAATAGCCATTCAATGTGTCTTGTAGTCATAAGTCTTGTGAAGATGTTCTGCAACCTGCAATACGGAGGAAACATATCGAAGTTACAAAATCTGAAGGTCAACTTGATTAGTTTTCGAATGACATGTAAACTCACATGCAGTTTTGATAACACTAAATGCAAATAGTTTAATTTATTCCATTTGTTTGTTAAGACTTGTAATGATTTTGGTACTTATTAATGATGATGTTCTGATTGGGGTTGAGTAAACTACCATTCCTTTGCTCAAGAAGCTTCCTTAATTACAGTTATCATTTGGGGTATATCATTTATGAAGAAATTCTTGGATTTTGGATCTACAAATTCAGTAGCTGAGTTTTTCTTTGTGAATTTAACTCTTCCGTTGACCAGCATGCTCAGCTGATCAGCTTAGGAGGGTTTAAAAAGATGAATGATTATATAGTACTTCTTATGTTCCCCCACATTCTTTATTTCTTCCTTTTTGTTTGGTAAGTTGGGCTCAAACCCAGAAACTCAAGACTTTAACAAGTTGACCCCATTGCAACAAAATGGGCAATCATGTTCACTTCCAACAGAGTGTCTATATACATTTTTCCATGCAGTCTAGTGTGCATGACTTTAACTAATTTTAGAAATTTCCCTGATGATAGTTCAAAAGATCCAAGTACTTAGATTCTGGAAGATCTTGATAGAATTTCCTTTGGCAAAGTGAGCAGGTAGATTCCAAAACAAATGACAGAGCTTCAGACAAGTAAACCATTGCATTAACCAAAATTCTACAATCTTTTTAATCAGGTGCCAAACTATTATCCACTTTACAAGATTATATGGATGTTCAGCATTGATTTCATGACATCTACAAGGGAAAAGACGTTCCACTCAAGTGGATCACAATATTACCTTGCTGAAATGGAGCGCAATGTGATATAGGATCACTGATCCAGAAACACTTATGATCTATAGCAGAACACTGGCCCCAGTGGCTGTTTTTGGACAAACAATGATGCCTGGTACTGCTCTTCTAGAGTTCTTGACTGGTGCAACCCTGGAAACCTTATCCATGTTGAGCTTTTATATGAAGAAAAACAGAGAAAAATGTGTTCAGTTTATTTTGAGAAAACAAAGCAAGTAAAGAAAGAAATATAAGAGATGCGCAAGTGTTTATGATCTCCTTATTGCATTCACATGGGCTTTCTAGTTCCTAATGCTTAATTCAAAATTTTGTTTCTGCATAATGGATCATTCTCAAATCCGAATCCATGATTAAAATCAATCTGCCAAAATAATTTCTAATTGAACTTTGGTTCAATTTTTGCAGGGTACAGCAGATGAAGTTGTGGATTGGTCCCATGGGAAACAGCTTTGGGAGCTAAGCAAAAACAAATACGACCCCCTGTGGATTGATGGGGGTGGGCACTGCAATCTTGAGATATACCCCGATTACATGCTCCATCTAAACAAGTTCATTTCAACTCTTGGAAAACAAAGATCCAGCTCAATGGAGCTAGTTAACCCAATCACCTTTAATTTCTCTAATGTCAAAGAGAAACCTGAGATTTCAAGGCATAGTTTTGATAGCCGTACAGAGAGATCACGGAGAAGCATAGGCCGAAGAGAGAAGCACAAGAGGCATGGGGAGCGACTCGAGAAGGCGAGGTCTAGTCTCGACCAATTGGGAAGAACCTTCCCCAAGTTAGAAATATGCAAAGAACTCTGATCAGTTGTGCTTTCTGTGTTTCCTATGAAGCATTATCATCCCTTTGTGGGTTGATTGCTTGTGTGTGTGTGTGAGAGAGAGAGGGGTCTGTAAGGGTGGTGTACCATTGTTGCAAGGATCATGTACTTACTACAAAAGGTCGACTCTGTTGGTTTACCATTGTTGTAATGGTAGTCTGTATTGATCTGGTCTCTAATTGTGGTGTTCCTTTGTTATGAGGATAGTGTGCCTCAATTGACTGGGTTATATGTACTGCAAGAAATTTGTTTATGACTTGCTTGAGGGTGGAGTGAATCACCCTTAAATCCATGGAGATCAGGAGTTATAAAAATTTCTTTTCAAAATGTATGTTTTAAAATGTTAAATTCCTATTCATGTTTTGGCCATCCTTGGCTTCTGGATATGGAATAAGCCAAAGCACTGGATATGGAAAAAGCCAAAGCAATTCATGCAAAGGGAATTTTTGAAAATATAATAATCTTGGATTTTTACAGGCATATCGGGTCTGGATCGTTTTTGGACCCTATCGGTTTGGATCTGGTTCAAGGTCGACCCAGACCCAACCCATTTACAGTGAGGTCGGTGTACACGCAAACCCTCATTAGCTTAATGAAAAAGAAAAAAGAAAAGATAAATAGCACCTCAGCATACATCATGTAACATTTTACAAACAAGTTTTTGTTGAAAAAAAAAAAAGATGATATCCTCTCTGAGGAGCATGTTCATTAACTTCCTCAAATATGACATTTATCTAGGAGCTTTGGGACTCCAAATTTTGTGGACGTGGTCCCTCAACCTAGTAAACTACCTCGAAGGTGAAATAACATTATATAGGGCTGGTAATGGACGGGGCAGTCCGGGCCCCTTGAAAGGTAGGGCTTAGGTCACAAACTGGCTCTAGAAAGGTAGGGCTTAGGTCACAAACTGTGGCTTGAGGGCTGGGCTAGGGCTAGGGCTAGTGCCAGCCTAGTTTGGCTCAACTTGGCCTTTTTTGTTTTTTCATTGTTTTTTCTTCATTTGCTTTTCGAACGACTCAGCCCGGCCCTATAGGGATAAGGGCTGGGCCAGGGCTGGCAAAACCCCTTATATCCCTAAATTATACATAGTCTATATATGCTCAATACAAAATAATGTCCTAAGGTTGAACATAGTCTATTCAATTTTTCATTTTTATAAATAAATACTCATTTAGTGCTTCTAAAGTAAATTGTAAAATTCACGAAAACGATTTAAAAAGGCCTAGGTCTTTACGGGAAAAGATAAAGCCTCATCTCAATACTTGTCAAATAATGCAATTATGGCGTCATAAAACCTTCAAATCAATCATTTTAGTCTTAAGCACTATAGTTGTGAAAATAATAATAATAGGATTATAGTATTTAAAAATAGTGTATATTGTAACATATATATAGATCAAACAATCCATTTTCAAGTGTTCATAGATTTGTGAGATCTATACCATTTTTTTAGTTTCAAATTTCATAGTTGGTGGTGAAAATTGATTTTGGAGCTATCATAGAGATTAATGATGCCCAAATTGTTTTCTAGAGGGGTTTTCGATGTGAGGCTTTACTCCTTTTTTTCATAAATCATAGGCCTTATACTTGAAAAAAAAAAGTTTATACAAGGTTGTGAACTTCTTTATAGAAACAAGATTGCAGTAATTTACATTGTTAATTTTATTTGGACAGGGTAGATTTACCATTGTATTAAAAAACGTGTCACTTTTTTATACTTATCTTAAAAAGCATATCAAATATGCATTGTCCAGCTAAAATATACAGTGTATGAGATTGCAACTTTACTTATAGAAATAAGTTTGCAGCTTATACAAACCGCATCCAATTTTAAATAGAAAGATCTTCCAAAGTAACTTTTTGCCAAAAGGACTAAGTTTATAGTATGCTCGAGCTGTGGTACACACATTGAAAACAAGAGAGCATGCAATACACACAATATTAACAAGGAAAATTGCTTATTGCGGCAGGGACCGCATTTCTACATTTGCGATCCCTGAGGTATAAAGCATCCATCTTAAAGATGGATGCAAATAGGTGGTCCATCTAAAAACAATTGAAACTAACGGTCTAAATGTTTTCTTCATAAAATTAATTCTTTTTTAAATTTGTTTGTTTTTTATATTCTTGATCTCCATGTTAGAGACTACATTTCCTTAAAAATTAGGTAAAAAAATCCATCTCAAAAGTAGATTTTTAAGAGGTAGCTCATATCTACATGGACTCATAGAAATCATGTCCTTTCAAAAACTCTTCCAATATTTGTACTTTTGTTGGAAGGAAATATTTATATAACATGTCAATCTTATATTATTGAAGTAAGGAGCACCTCAAGAATCCATTGGAAAAGGATATTCTGATGTTAAAAACCCCAAAAATTGATCATATCGTCCTCGGATATATGGATATGAAAAAAAAAAATTCAAGTTCTAACACTTAATATTGTAACATATTATCTGGACTATCTATTTTTTTAAAAAATAATAATTTATAGATCTCCTCAATTTACATCATTTTTTGAGTGTTAAATTTCATAATTAGAAATAACAATAGATTTTCATACCAAGATTTTTGTAGGAGCTTTACTTTGATTGTTTAAGGTTGATGATAAAACGACCACATTAAGATACTACAATGAAGTTATGCATGGGACTTGAATTGTTTCACGATTACATGCAAGAGGAAAGAATCTTTGTCGTATGTTTAAGGAATAACTTTTATTAGCTCGTAAAAGTAAGAGAACTTCGCACTAATTTCCCTTGAAGTAATATTTTTATATGAATTTTTTCAAATTAAAATTTACATTTATTATTTTTTCTTTTTAAAAAATGTCCCACCTTCAAAATGTGTAGCTGACTACGTACCAAAGTTTTGAACAATGACTGTAGACCTCCATAATACAAGGGTCAAGGGTTACAAAGGTCAAGGGTTTTTACCGTGACTTTGGACCTCATGACCCAAAGCGGATTGTTAAGAGTCCAAAGTTATTTTGACTTCACTTTGGATCTTGAAAGTAAAATTAATGCTTTATCAGCAAGGGTCTTAGGTTTAGATTTTTAAGGTTCAAAACCAAGACTTCAAGTCTTAACATCTGACCTTAAGGTTCGAAACCAAGACTTCTAGTCTTAACATTTGACCTTAGGGTTCGAAGCTGGGGCATTTTGAAAAAAAAAAAAAGGGAAAAAAATGGAATTAACATGAAAAACAAAATTTCTAAAAGATACAAAAAAAACTAGAGGATTTTTGGCTCAGGGGGACTTAGGCATTTAAAATACTATTGTATTGATAATTGGGAAAATACTTTGAGGATGATGTATCAAGATATAAAAAATTATTTGCCAAAACCTCACAGACTCTCGTGTGTAAGTTAATGCAATTTTGAATAGCAGCTTGATTGAGAAATATTAGTGTCATGCCTTAGTGTTAGAGGTATGCATGCATGTGTTTGCATGCTAAAAAGAGTGAGAATGCTAAAAAATTTAGGCCTTTAGCTATGTTGGTTGTAAAATGAAATGATATAGTGGAACATGAATTCAGTAGGAGTGTAGTCCCTCGTGGATCATACTAAACAAATAATGTTTGCAGATACCGGATTATGCTTAACGATCTAGGCCAGTCGGTTGGAAAAAACCCATGTTACTTGAGTATAAATAACAAACCGAGAAGGGTTTTAATGGGTTAGCCCTTGATGAGGTCGGAGAATATGCCCGGATGAGTGAGTCGAGGGGCTGTGTGACCCTTGTGTGTGATGGTGGCCTACAGAGACGGGGGTCAAAACCTCATCCATATGCCATTACACGGCATCCATATCGATAGATCGTTCGGAAGCGTATGTATGTGCGAGAGATACCCCTATGCACCATAGGAGCTATGTTCGCATTAGGTCTAGGTGACCTTGACTAGTCTCTAAGGGATGACCTAAAATCCCATAGACTGGGATTGCAATCCATTGACTCATTAGCCGGACTTTAGTGACCCGCTAATAAGTCCCTGCTTGGACTGTGGGTCATGAAAAACATTGGGTCGGTCTGATAAAGCAAATGTGGTTTGTAGTCCACAGTTGAAGGTAGAGTGCCCCATGATTGTTGATTCTTAAACTATATAGATTCTTTTCCCATCAAATTAATTTAATTGTATTTGTTTTATAATGAAAATTATTTTAAGATTATTATTTGAATTTTTATGAACCCCTGGATATTTTATTTATAATTTTTGGATTTATAAAATTAAAGATATTGATTTTACAATTGTTTAAATACTCAAATAATATTATAAAATCCTTTTATTAATTTTAAATATATAAAAATATCATAGGGGCCCATTGTGCACATGGGCCCGCCATATCTTTAGAAGGTAAGGCCCATAAGTGCCTCTCTTGGGTGGCATGCCCCACCTTTATTCTCTTTCCTATTTTTTGATTTTTTTGGTGATATGTCATGTGGCTATATGGTTGAAAAATCTTGACTAAATATTGACTTGATATATCTTTGAAAGATTTTGTGGAAAGATTGAATAGACTTGTGCTATTTTATGATGTACACAATATTTTGATTAGATTTAATTTATTTAATTTCTATTGATGAGAAAATGGTTTAGGAAAGGGAGATAATGGTTCATGCACCTTCCATAATATTGATAACTCATCTATGGAATGGATGGCTCAGATATCTCACCCCACAAGTCACCCTTGATTGACGGTCTATGTTCAATCTCACAAGAAGAGGCAAGCCAAAGAAAACCCTAAAAAATCGTAATCTTATTCAAAGCCTATAAAAATGGATTGTCTCTACCAAAAAATCTCTACACCTTATATTTCTATTTCTTTCTCTTAATAAAGTTTATCTCTCTCATGTTTGATCTATTTCTCCCACATTGTGAAAGAACATAAGGGTTTAAGTTGTAGAGTTCTTCTCTCTCCTATCTCTCAAATATGGATTTATGGCTAATGGTTTTAGGGTTTAGTAAAAAGAGAACCCATATCTCTCAAATTAGGTTGAAACTAGGTTGCTAACAGAATTCATCTGGGGTTTAAGTTTGTGATCAAAGGGGTTCATGTTCCATTGATGTGGCTTGGCCGAAATTTGCTTTCCCGGTTCGAGATTGAAACTAAACCGTTGATCTCACGCTATCAAATGTTGGTGACTCGGTGTGGCGTGTAATAAGCCCGGTTGAGGTAATCTCCGGCACTCTTCCTTTTATTTTTTGTAATCTTATCTTTTATTCTCAAGCATAGTTATTTAAATGGCAACAAGTTGTTAAGATCTTGGTTTTATTGTTATGTTGATTTTATTT